AGCCCCGAATGTTGGCTTTTCATCCACTCACTTTGGTGGGAAAAAGGGTCTGTTGCGGGAAGGCAATGAGTAGGACTTTCTCAGCAGAGACTGTATGAGATACTTGGTCATAGTTGAGCATTCCTCGAGGTGCAAGGGAAAGGACGATCATCCACAGCTTACGACAACCCACCCCAGGCATTACTGAAGCATTCGCGGGGCTTAGCTACACAACTGTTTTAGCATTATGGTAGCATCACGCAGATATTTGACCGGCGCGGGTAACAAAGTTCGGAACATAACATTAAGTTATACTATCTGGCGTATAAATAATGTTTTTCAGAATCCATTGCCGGTCAGATTATCCTCGACACTGTGGATACAAGCAGGGATAGATTTGTAAATAGAACTTTGGTCATCCTGACGACAACTCAATGTAAGCGATCCCCTTGAATCAAATTGTCCTCTCGAAATGAGTATGAGGCAATCCAATTCTGAAGTTCCATTCAAAAGGAGCTGAAACACAGTTCAGGTCAGCTCGAATTCCTCAGATTCACCTAGTAGTCTGATGTGGTTCAAACGTTTCAACCATGTCTTCACGTTGAGGCGATGAGTTCACTGGAGATTTGTCAGTCAAAGGACAGATCGGGCGGGGGGAGGGAGGGGCAAGGGGAAATTTTGTCAAATAGACCATTCCGGGTGTATAATAGTAACAAACTAGATAGGGCTGGGATCCTTCCAGCCCTCTGACTGTCACACATCTACACTTACAGGTACACACACACACACACACACACACACGGAGAGCGGGAAAATGAATTAATTTTTAACGTTTGTTTCAGCACTTGCATTCTTCTCGGGTATCTCAAAGCCAAATCAGAGTGCATAAGTAGNAAGTAGTAGTAGTAGTAGTAGTAATAGTAGTAGTAGTAGCGGTAGTAGGGGAGCGGCAGTGAGGCGGTCCAACGTGTAAGGTTTCGTTCCCCCGAGTATTATTGTGCTGTACAGAAAGAGAAAAAGAAATATTCACCGGTATCATCATCATCAGCAGCAGCAGCACCACCACCACCACCACCACCACCAGCATTAACAACAACCACAGCAGCAGCAGCAGCAGCAGCAAAATACAATGCTACATTCAGAACAACCGCATAGTTTATCTCGGCACCTAGTAACCAAACAAACAAATAATTTCCTACCACACATCAACAAATCTGGTGGTTCTCTCGAAACAGAGCTAGGAAGGAAGAAAATGTGTATGTGGAAGGGCAATGTGTGCTCGGCTGCAGACAGAAATGCATTCATAATTCACTGTATTCATCCCACCCCACCCCCGTTCGAAATGAGCCTGCAATGGTCACACCGATTTCCCAAAGACGAAAGTAGAAGAAAATGGATGGTTGAATGAATAGATGTGTATTTGGAGGGGTGGGCGGGAGC